CAGATATTTTTTCGACAGAGAATACAGAAACTGAACGACGCGAACCAACGAGGGCGAGAAAGCCTACGCTTTTTCATGGACTTTATTTACCCTACAGTTACTTTCGTGCTGAAAGTAATGACTTCAAAGTTCGCACGCAGTGGTGAATATACCCTGCCAATTAGCTNGAACTCGTGTCCGGCGCTTTTGGAATATGGGGCTCCTTGGCACAACTGAGTATGGAGTATGGAGATGAAATTCGAACGACGATCAGGGAAATCAATATAATACATCGGTCTCAACTACTCACAGGGACTGTGAAGTACATGAGAAGTGAAGTGATTGACGCCGAAAAAGGAGTTTCTCCAAAAGGCAGCACATTCCATTTCAATATAGCAAGAACGTAAGTTTCAACGATTGTGTAAAAAGGAATGGATATCGAAGACGGATTGCACTACGGAAATTCGAGAGACAGCAGTCTCAGAAAGTGTAAAAGTCAGCACTGGAAAAGCAGTGACTTAGTTCGAAAACGATTCAGATCGAGAATGCAATTTTAGCTGCAAAATTACTGAAAAACTGGGTGAAGTACAAAAAGAACCTGACTGCATCCGTTCAGCTCCATGATCCCTCGGTCATAGATACAGATCCTTCAACTAAGAGTAGATTCTGTGAAGCATGTACAAGTTACCATTAATACGAACTTAAGGTAGGCATCCCATAACTACAGCTGCGTAAAGAAACTTAATGGATTATCTTTTCATCTTCGAGAACTCAGACACTTCAACGCCAAACAAAATAATTTTGCTCTTTTAACACCGATGTGTTTTTCCTATTCTTTTTTATTGTTCCGGACTACTTAAGAAAAGCTTTAAAGTTCTTCGTCGCCAATCGTCGATTATCAGTTGTGTCTCTTTTACCCATTGCTGATCTGTCTACGAAACTCTTGAACCATACGTGTTCACATGGGAAAAGTTTGCACAGAAAATCTTCTCTGATCCCATTCATCCTTCACGAAGCGATCGGTTCAACTCCCACTCGCGTCGATTACTGCCTTCTGCATATGGTACTATTTCTTAAGAAGTTCTACGGTCCATTATCTCTCTAGCCCCCCTGAAAATCGATAACCTGTTTCTTCGAACTTCCTTAGCAACCGTGGAGGTTAAATGTTTTGCTCGTACTATTTCCTTCTTGCAATGAGATGATGATGTGTAATTTTTGACTGAAATGTGGACATCTGTCCACTCAAAAGTGGAAACAAAATCTATTCCCGGATTCCTTCCCGGTAAAGTAAATCATTTCTTAAAAACTTCTTCGCGAGTTATTTCAACGGCAATCTCACAGAAAAAGAAAATCGGAATGTGGGTAAATGCTGATATTTTGCCCCTTCATATTTTAATCACCTGTTACTATTTTCTGAACCTCCCTCGTAATAGCGAACAACCCGACGTGGAGATCGAATTTGGTCAAAACTGATTGTTTTCACCCTGTGACGTTTCTTGTTTCATCTATAGAAGAAAATGACCGGGGCAACCACTGATCATCAAAAGTTATGCAATTTTATAGAGTTTCAAACAAACACTTGGTCGCCGAATACTTGCAGACGAATTGAGATCGGGAGCGTTATTGTTTGAATATTTATAACCTGCTTTAGCTACAAAAACAGGCTTAATTTATGCATGCAGTATGGTTTACGACACTGTTAGTAATGAAGCCTTATTTTGAAGTACTACTGGTGTTCCATGGTTCCACACACCTTGATAGATGACTCACACTTTGATTAATAAAAGACCTGGAATCGCTCTGATCATGAAGCTGACAAACGGTCGTTACACGTGTGGGGAGGGGGTAGGATGCGGATAATTACGGAAAGTAACCTCTTTATTCTAAAGCGAAATCATAATGCTGAGGCATATTATCGTGGCTCGGAGAGAACATGCAGGGTCAATCATATCGGAACTCGATAAATCGATAAATAACTTCCATTTCGCCTGTTCGCCGAGCTTGGCAATTTGTTTGCAAACGTTTCATCACCAGCCGAGGTGACATCATCAGTGCTTGTGAAGTGATGATGTCACCTCGGCTGGTGATGA